TATTAAAATATCTGGATGACTTTCTGAGTGATTTCTTTTTATACTTATTATAGATGAGCTTGAATCAGAGCATATGACAGCTCTTAAAGGTCTTCTTCAATCCATTCTATCACCAACATTATTGCAACCATTTCTGCTTTGTAAACAGATAACCATTCATTCATCTTCTTCTTCTTCCCTATTTGAATTTTAAATTCTGGAAATATGACTGCTACTAGTGATGGGCAGTTTGAAGCTGAAGCTTCAGAGCATGTATTGAAAAAAACAGCACACTGTTTCAGAAGCACTGTGTCGGAGCTTGATTCGTTTGGTAAAAGTCACATGATCAGTGACGTCCGAAGCTTCGAAAGTGGTGAACTTACGTCACTGCTTTGGTACCTGATTCAAAGGTTCATGAGGGAATGAATCATTGGCTGGATTTGTGGTGTGTTTTGATGGCAAATGTGCAAAATATAACAAACCAGTGAAGGACTTATTGTGAGACACAGAGACAAACAAACGTATGTGTTTAGTTTATTGTGCAGTTTATAAGCCTGGGCCAGACAGTGGGGGTCATGAACCCACAAAGAACCTTTGCTGCGAGCGCACATGTGTGCACGCACACACGCACACAGAACTGCGTGCAGCTTGGTTCATCATTAAAATGAAAGCAATAGTAGCGCGAGACACATCCCAGAGCAGAATTTCACTTGTTGCACAGATGATGATTTTCATAAAAAACAGAACCGGATGGTGACGATGTCCTGTCCTCAGGAGGAAGGGCGGCACGAAGCATTAGATGAAACTGATCAACTGTATGGACTCTATTTAATAAAGGGATTATCCAAACATTTTAAAGTTCAGTGGAAAAGTTTTAAACATTCATGTCAAAATTAAAATCAAAGACCAGGGGCTGTATTTATCAGATTTGTAGGAAATGTTATTAATACTTTGAAGAATTAATTGTAAAAAAAATTGTCTCAAAGCTGGGCCTAAAATTTAGATATCAAACATCTGATTTAAAGTAAATCTGAAGAGTCTCTCAGAGGGGATTTTGTTGATACTGTATTTAGAAAATCACAGACAAGCAGTCACACACAGAATATGTTTTAAATATATGATCATATTCAAAATTATTCTAAGAGAAATGTCAAGATAAGATTGTGAAAATCTTAAATTGAAATTCAACTTTTGTATTTATTGGTTTTAAGAATGTGTGAAATAGTAGCCTATTTTTTTTAAAACAAGGGGTAGAGATAAAATTAGACTTTTCTTTCTGCTTTCTGTCTTTCATTTTATTAGTGATTTTTTTGTGTGTGTATAGAATTAATTTTGTTTTTAAATGAAAATGAATTAAGATCTTGAACTTGCAATAATTCAGTATAAAATACAGGCACACTTTATTTTATTTATTTATTATTTATAACAAACCATAATCAACAGTAACTTTATTCCCACCCACAAAAAAGAAAAAAAATGAAAATCTGTTCAAGCAACACAATGACAGCCTGATATCAAACAGAAATATCTCATTAAAAAGCTGTCAACTCTATCACGATGAAGCGCTTCACTTTGTGTTGTGTCAAACAGCTTTTCGTACTTTTGGCCACAGGGTGGAGCCAAAGAGAACTGTGTTGGAAAGCTTCGAGTAATGAACCCTTTTTCATAGCAAGCTTCAGTGCTTCAGAAAAGCTTCATTTGCCCATCACTAACTGCTACCCTGTATCACCTGATTGATTCTGGGATGAAGCACCACACCTCAAATCAACTCCAGGCCTTTTATCTGCATAATTGAGAATGACATAACGAAGGGATTGCCCACACCTGTCCATGAAATAGCCTTGGAGTTAATTGTCCAATTACTTTTAGTCCCTTTAAAAACAGGGTGGCACATGTTAAGGAGCGGAAACTACTAAACCATTCATCCAATTTTAATGTGGATACCCTCAAATGAAAGCTGAATGTCTGGACTTTATGTCCACATACATTATATCACTATAACTTGAATATGTTTCAGTAAACAGGTAAAAAGACAAAATTTGTGTCAGTGTCCAAATATATATGGCCTTAACTGTATKTCATCAAGAGTCAGAGAATCTGGACAAATATCTGCAGGTAAACAGCAAGGCCAGAAAACAAAAATGAATGCATGTAAAACATATTTAACGTATTTAATCATTGCATGTGAAATTGACTTTATTTCATCCATTTAACATACTTTAAAAGTGGAGCTTYTTCTATGTTGCATTTCCTTTTGTAATACTATCGCAAAAGGGCTACACAGGAAAATTAATTAGAGGAAGCAAACACTAATATATTAATATMTATCATGTCAGCATGTTTAATATCAATCAGGATTAATCTTTGAACACACTTCTGTCTGTAATTTTCCCWCTATACTAATCAAATGAAGTTCATTGTGTCTATTTGATCAATCTTAATAAGTTTTACTAGACACTTCGTTATTTTTGTCTGTTAAGACATACCTGTAAACCTGCGGGTATGTCTGTATAGACATAAAAATAACAAAGTGTRTAGTAATTATGAAAACTTATTAAGATTTCCCTCTATACTGTTGTGACACAGACCTGTCACTCATGGTGTCAGCTACAGTCAGTAACCAAAACTTCAATAAAAATGTCCGATCAAATCTGAATGTGTAATGTGACAACGTTAGTGAACACAACTCCAAATGGTTTAGAAATCACAGATAAAAGATAAAATTAWCAATTCAATTCGTGTTTCTGCTAATTTTGTTCTTKTATTTAACAATTATTACCTCTCCTTGGGCTGCCACCTTATCGTGGTGGAGAGGTTTGAGTGTCCCAATGATCCTAGGAGCTAMMTTGTCAGGGGCTTRAAGCRCCKAGTACGGTCACCCAAGGCAAACAGGTRCTAGGTGAYMGATCAGACAAAGTGCAGCCCAAAGACCCCTATGATGAGTACCATAAATGGAGTCAGTGTCCCCTRGCCCAGACGCYGGTCACCGGGGCCCCACTCTGGATCCAGGCCTGGAGGTGGGACACGTTGGGGAGCYCCTGCGGTGGCCGGMCTTTCACCCATGGAGCCCGSTCGGGRAKAGCCCGAAGAGGAGACATGGGTCCCCCTTCCCATGGGCTTTCCATTGCCYGTAGTAAGTRGGACTTGTTTCTGGTGAGAWTTGSACTCCGCCAAGGTTGCCCTTTGTCACAGATTCTGTTCATAACTTTTAKAGACAGAATTTCTAGARGCAGCCAAMGTGTTGAGGGGATCCTTTTTGGTGACCTTAGGATCATGTCTCTGCTTTTTGCGGATGATGTGGTCCTATTGGCATTATTAAATTGTGATCTCCAGCTCTCACTGGAGCGGTTCGCAGCCGAGTGTGAAGCGGCTGGGATGAGGATCAGTGCCTCCAAATCCGAGACCTTGGTCTTGAGCCGGAAACCGGTAGCATGCCGCCTCTGGGTCAGGGAGGAGGTCCTGCCCCAAGTGTAGGAGTTTAAGTATCTCGGGTTCTTGTTCACGAATGAGGGAAGAATGGACCGGGATATCGACAGGCGAATTGGTGCTGCATCTCCAGTGATGCGGGTGCTGTACCGGTCTGGCGAAACTCTCGATTTCCCGGCCTGTCTACGTTCCTACCCATATCTATGGTCACGAGCTTTGGATAGTGACCAAAAGAACGAGATCGCGGATACAAGCGGCCGAAGTCGGTTTCCTTTGCAGGGTGTCTGGGCTCTCCCTTAGAGANAGGAGTTTAAGTATCTCGGGGTCTTGCTCACGAATGAGGGAAGAATGGAGCGGGAGATCGACAGGCAAATTGGTGCTGCGTCTCCAGTGATGCGGGCGCTGTACCAGTCTGTCGTGGTGAAGAGAGCTGAGCTAGAGGCTCTCGATTTCCCAGTCGGTCTACATTCCTACCCTCATCTGTGGTCACGAGCTTTGGGTAGTGACCGAAAGAACGGGATCGCGGATACAAGCGGCCGAAGTCGGTTTCCTTTGCAGGGTGTCTGGGCTCTCCCTTAGTGACAGGGTGAGAAGCTCGGTCATCCGGGAGGGACTCAGAGTAGAGTCGCTGCTCCTCCACATCGAGAGGAGCCAGTTGAGGTGGCTCTGGCACCTGGTTAGGATGCCTCCTGGACGCCTCCCTGGTGAGGTGTTCTTGGCATGTCCCACTAGGAGGAGGCCCAGAGGACGACCCAGGACACGATGGAGGGACTATGTTTCTTGGCTGGCCTGGGAACGCCTTGGGAATCCCCCGGACAAGCTGGCCCAATTGGCTGGGGAGAGGGAAGTCTGGGTTTCTCTGCTTAGGCTGCTGCCCCCACGACCCGATCCCGGATAAGCGGCAGAAGACGGACGGACGGATTAACACTAAAAGATTGGACTGATGCACTCTGGTCAGGAGAGACTGAACTCTGCATGCCCACTTCTTCTATGAATGTGCAGTGGGAGTGATGGCTACTTATTATTGCTAGTGAGCTTAACTCTAAATAAAGTTATGTTCACTCTATACACTAAGTATTTAGAACTTTTCACAATGCAAGTAACTGTTACTTAGTAAGTCATTACACYTAAAGCAGAACAATCCCACAGTAAAATCCATTAGTTATCGTTACTTAAAAAAAGCTTGTAAACCGATTGCACTCAGTATTTATTCACTATTCAGTGTACTCAATTTTTTTAAGTGCAATCAGTTTACAAGCTTTTTTAAGTAACGATAATGAACGGAAAGCACTAATATTTAGTCTTACAAAATATTAATGTCTTCACTACAAATTGACAAAAAAATGTCTCTTGTCAATTAATTAATAGAATAAATTTTTCATTCTATAAATGTTTAAAAATCCAAACCTTCTCTTAACTTAGACATTTAACATCAAGTCTACAGTATTTTTTTTTACCTTTAACTGTTTTAGAAACCTTGTTGTGTGTCTTTCATGTTGTTATGTTTACTGTTTTATTCATGATTCAAGGAAATTGATTTTTGCTATATTTTTGTAATAAATAATCATAAAAGACAAAGCTGGTTCCTCATCTTTGAGTTTTTTTGGACTGAGAGAAGAATACCCTGCATTTTGTACAATCTCACACTTTGGTATGTATGAGTCTGATGAAAAAGGGTGGATAAATATTGGTCAATAACTTGGCCTGGTGCGCCCCAACWTGACAAAAGTGTTGTGCAGGACAGAAATAGTTATCGTCATTTCTGTTTCTCTCCTACCATCTCATATTCATTAAAAACATATTGTGTGTCTTTGAACTGCAGGCATGTCAAGTGTTGATATAAAGGCTTATGGGAGAATTGGACTTCGGGCCCTCAGCTACTACATGATCACCACTGTTACTGCTGCCTTCACTGGTATAGCTCTGGTTGTTTCCATCAAGCCTGGGAAATCAGGACAAGCCTCAGTTCCCTCTGGTGAAAAAACAGAGGGTGTGCACAGTGTAGACGCTTTCCTCGACCTCATCAGGTGTGAATAAAAACCTTTTCCACAAAACAGAACGCTACATTTTATAAGCTTATTTTATAATGGGTGTTCTGTTTTACAGAAACATGTTCCCATCAAATCTAGTGGAAGCTTGTTTCAGAAAAGTAAGATCAGTTATGTTTTTTGCRCCAGTTTTCATATTTTGGTCACCATTTACTAACATTTGATTGTATTTTTTATTTATTTTTTTCATAATCAGTATAAAACCGTTTTGGATTCTTTAGAAAATCCTCCAGATGTCCTGAATGTATCGTCAAACAGTGGGTTTTTTGTCATTCATTTTATGCAGTGGTGTTAATAATTCACTTTTAATCAGATTTGATTTGATCTCTGGTCAGAACCCGTGGCAGGAACCTCCGATGGCATCAACATTTTGGGTCTGCTGGTCTTCTCCATTGCATTTGGCCTCATCCTGAGCAGTATGGGGCCAAAAGGAAAACCTGTCAGGGATTTCTTTACCTGTCTGAATGAAGCCATTATGCTTCTGGTTAATATAGTCATCTGGTAAGAAGGGCTTATCTGTATCTGTATTTTTATCTGCATTTGTGTTAGCTGTCTGCAAAGCAAATTGCCCCTTGGGGTCAATAAAGTTGTTTCTAATCATTTATAATCTTAATGTTTATTGGCTGCCAAAAGTTGAAGGTGGGCAGTAATGTTTTCTTTGTCCACYTCTGTGTGTGTGTTCACAAGCCTGAATCACTCAATAGATTATAAGGAAACTTGCAAAAGGAAATCTTTGGATGAACGTTTTAATTTCATCTTAGTCTACAATGCATGATATGCATTTCTTCATGAAATGCTTGACCTTGTCCAACTGTCGTTTTGTTTTTATTAATAAAGTTGTTGTTCTTTTCGTGAGCTTTTAATTTTCCCTACAGCTCATCACATCTCCCATAATGCATCTCACCTTTTCCTTTGACAGGTATTCTCCAGTTGGATTCCTCTTCCTGCTGACGGGACAGATTCTGAAGATGACGGACACATCAAATGTAGCTCATGAAGTTACCATGTATMCTGTGACTGTGATCACCGGCCTGACCATCCACAGCTTCATCTCGCTGCCGCTCATCTACTTTGTAGTGACACGAAAGAATCCTCTGAGGTTTTTTGCAGGGATCCTTCAGGCTCTCACCACAGCGTTTGGCACCTCATCCAGGTAAAATCAGAAACATAAAGTGTTGCAACCTCGTGACTAAGTAACGGGAATCTAAAAAAAATTAAAATAAAACAACTTTTGTGTCTTTTTTTAAACAGTTCTGCAACCTTGCCCGTCACTCTTCACTGCATGGAGCAGAACCACAACATGGACAAACACGTGACTCGCTTCATGCTCCCGATGGGTGCCACCGTGAACATGGACGGTTCTGCTCTGTATGAAGCAGTAGCTGCTTTATACGTAGCCCAGATTCATGACCTGGACTTTGACTTTGGACAAATCATTATCCTCAGGTACTTACTTCAGATTAAAACATTTGACCGTTAATGAACATTACAGGCCACAGGTGAGCTGTGTTCTTTTAAGGAGCATGACGCAGAATTTTACTTCATTTGTTAGTTAGAGATGAATTATTATTTTCTTTGCCCAGTTTGGTTGTTACAGCAGCCAGCGCTGGTGCAGCAGGCATCCCACAGACTGGCTTTGTTTCCATGATGATTGTGTTGACGTCAACCGGACTGCCCACTGAAGACATATCTCTGCTCCTGATTGTTGATTGGATTCTGTGAGTATGAAGAACATTTTGTGACATTGTGATCAGTTTTAGTAATTTTTTTTAATAGTTAGAGAATTAACAAGCCTCTATTTGAAGGAGTTTGGTGACGAGACAGACCCAGGGCGCAGGCAGGTTTCAAAATATAACAAAAAGATTTATTTAAGTAACAAAAAGAGGGCTGATTGCAGCAAACTTACTAGAAAAACGAGTATCACAGGCAGGGGGAACAGAACACACGCAGAGCACCATAACAAACAATGATCCGACACAAGACTGAGACAGGACAGGGTTTAAATACACAGAAGACTAATGACTGAAACACAAAACACCTGAGGAGAAACACAAGGGTGACAATCAAGGTAAATGTGGGGCAGCTGGGCAAAGACACACTGGGGAACATWGAAAAACACTAGGAAAACTAAGGAAAATAAATACAGACTATGACACTATTTAGTTTTAGTGATTGTATTTATAACTAAATAGGAAGTAGGATTGCGTTGACACAGATACAAATGTGAGGTTTAGTGTAGAATGACCCAGGGCGGAGGCAGGATCCAAAGTTCAAAACAAATATTTTAATGTAACAAAATGAGGGCTGATATGTCAGCAATAACTTACAGAGACTCTAGAAAAAGGCACAAGGAACATGAACACGAGCAGACACCTCACTGGCTGAGGGAAGCAGCACAATGATCGGACAAACACTGAAGACAGGACACAATATAAAGACAAACTAATTAGGGCAACAAGACACACCTGGAGCAGACACAAGAGGACACAGGTGAGAGAGGGTGGGGCTGCAGGGCAGAGAAACACTGAAAACACTAGAAAACTAAGGAAAATAAACACAGATTATGACAGGACCCCCCCCCCCCTTAACAACGGCTCCTGACGTCAAAAAGGAGAGGCACGACACTGGGAACACACGACAGGACAGACTCAAAGACAAAAGACACAAGGTTTGGGAGGATGGCCCGAAGACCATCCAACACGGGACAGAAGATCTGGAGGGTGGCCCAGGAAACCCCCCAGGTCCACGGGAGTCCTGAAGATGGGGGTGGAGTCCAGGGAGGAAACGGGAGCAGACCAGGAGCCCAGAGAGGCGACAGGAGCTGACGAGGAGCCGGCGGAGGTTGATGCAGCAGAACGCCAGTGACGGTGAACGCAGGCGACAGAGGCGATGAGGACGCGACGGGTGACGACCCAGGCGATGAGGACGCGACGGGTGACGACCCAGGCGATGAGGACGCGACGGGTGACGACCCAGGCGNCCTTAAGACTAAGTAATGGGAATCTAAAAAAAAATTAAAATAAAACAACTTTTGTGTCTTTTTTTAAACAGTTCTGCAACCTTGCCCGTCACTCTTCACTGCATGGAGCAGAACCACAACATGGACAAACACGTGACTCGCTTCATGCTCCCGATGGGCGCCACCGTGAACATGGACGGTTCTGCTCTGTATGAAGCAGTTGCTGCTTTATTCATAGCCCAGATTCATGACCTGGACTTTGACTTTGGACAAATCATTATCCTCAGGTACTTACTTCAGATTAAAACATTTGACTGTTAACGAACATTACAGGCCACAGGTGAGCTGTGTTCTTTTAAGGAGCATGACGCAGAATTTTACTTCATTTGTTAGTTAGAGATGAATTATTATTTTCTTTGCCCAGTTTGGTTGTTACAGCAGCCAGCACTGGTTCAGCAGGCATCCCACAGGCTGGCTTGGTTACCATGATGATTGTGTTGACGTCAACCGGACTGCCCACTGAAGACATATCTCTGCTCCTGATTGTTGATTGGATTCTGTGAGTATGAAGAACATTTTGAGACATTGTGATCAGTTTTAGTAATTTACGTTAACAGTTAGAGAATTAACAAGCCTCTATTTAGTTTCAGTGATTGTATTTATAACTCAGTAGGAAGTAAGATTGCGTTGACACAGATACAAAGCTGGGGAAAAACTTTATATGTGTGTAAATAAACTTTCAAGATTGAGTACGGGACCAGTTTCCTGCATCTGATTCGAGTCCCATGAACACGTTTCGTACAATTATACTCAATTTGTCTAATCCAGGCCCGTCAGTGTAGCTTTAAATTCTTTAGGTTTAATTGAATTTCACCTGTAAAACTGTTAAGCTGTACTGAGAAAGCATGTGTCGATACAGGGATCGTCTGAGGACCGTCACCAACGTGCTGGGTGACTGCATCGGTGTTGGTGTGGTTCAACATCTGTCCAAACATGAGCTGCAGGTGGTAGAAGAAGAACACTTCTGAGAGTCATGAAGCATGTTAAAACTAAATGTATCCCTTGTTAGAAAATAAGAAAATGCATTATTACTTGAGTAAAATCATGATATAAATGTGTTGCTTTTTAATCTTTTTCTTTTGAAAAATAAGGAAAGAATTCACATGAAGAGCAAAGAGCTCTCTGTTATAATGTCTGTAATTTGAAACTGCAGCTTTTTCTTGTTGTTTTTTTCAGCGCCCCCCTCTGCAGGGGTCACCACAGCAGCAAACTAAGATTTGTGCAATTATCAGACACCAGATAACTGATCATTGAGCTACTGCAATGTTTCCAGTGTCAAACTATATTATTTAGTTTTTATGATTTTGTCCAGTAAATTATATATATTTTTCCATTTATTTCAATATAATCACTGTCTTAAAAGAAGGTGTTCAGTGTGCTAACATGTAAAATAAACATTACAAAGAGATCAGTCAAATCTATGTTTTGTGACATAAATATTAAATTATAGACTGGTTTTCTTCCTGTCTTTTACAAATGTTGTTTTATTTATTTCTCTCTTCCACCATCTTCTTGCAGAATAGTTAATAGTTAGTGACCCAGATTCACCCTGACAATGATTAAAGCACTTTATAATACCTGTGCCTTCATTTAGATTCAGACTTCTGATGTTGAGAAATGATGACATCTGGTTAAATCTTGAACATGACTTTATGGGTACAGGGGCGGAGCCAGAGGGTTGTCTGGGGTGGCAAGTGCCCTACCGCCTGATTGTCCACCCCAGAAAAACTGACAAGTGTGTGGGGAACTTGGATTTTGTTTTTGCATTTAGATTTTGTTAATAGTGCTCCCTGAAACTACTGCGCTATATATTTCAGCTGTGTATTTTTGAAAATGGCTGAATTATAGCCCTTTGTAAAACTAGCATTAGCATTATTTGTTAGCTTGTGATTAGCATCAATAATCTGCATATGATCATTCTTACCTACTCCATAACAAATTTAATCCCAGTAAGTCAAAAAATGACTGAAATATACTTGTAAAGTTAGCCGTGGTGTGTGGAGCTAGATGGGTCTCAATTTCTTCACATGTGCACAGAAAAATTTGTGCGTGCACAGAAAACAATACATGCATGCACAGAATGGTTCACATGTGCACAGATGATTCATGCATGCACCAAACGTTTTACACGTACACAGGAAGTTTCACATGTGCACAAATGTGTTCATACATGCACAGTACAAAATTTACAAATGCACAGGACCAGATTCATATGTGCACAGAACAGTTCACGTGTGCACAAGAATAGATTCAAACATGAATTTCTAGTGTACACACAAATATATCTTTATTTACAAAGAGCTGCCTCTCTGTGGCCTTCTCTGCATTTGTGTGTGCATTTTAAGACTCCCCTGATGTGGCTCAACCCACACTTACCTCTTTTTCATCAGGAAATGATCTCCAACCAATCACAAAGCTTCCTTTTATTCAGCCAATCATAAGAGCTTTCCCCACGTGAGGGGAGGATTCCCTTACAAGCCAATCACAATAATTCAAACAACGCAACATACCTGTGAACTTGAAGCAGTAAACAGTTAAGAACTTTCTTCATGACTTCTGGCAATGACAGGGGAGCGGTAAGTGAAATATCTGTCTTAATATGTTTAGTTAGTTTGTTTTGCAGGTCTTATGTTTATGCCGCCATTTGTCACACAGCTCATCAAGAACAGTAAAATCAGCCTGCTGTGGCGTCAGGTTGATTGATCTGACAATGGGGTGATGGTAGCCCCATAGAATGGCAGCAGATGCTGGCTCTGTGACTATCAGACTTTGAAGCTTTGTTTCATAAAGATATCAGTCACGCGGTTCCAAGGTCTTTTGCTGCTGTTGCATGTTGAAAATTGTTGTGGGGTGGGGAGGTTTTAGGCAAACAGGCAGGAATGACAACGTTATCTCGCCTTCATGGTGCTGGGCTGTGGATTATCTTCTGAGCGCTGGCCTTTATACAGTCTTCTGGTCTCAGCATCGCTGTCCATCATCGGTCCAGGTCTTGGGGTCGGAGTGGACGTGGGAAAGAGCAGAGTGTTTCCAGGAAACCAAACTCCCCAGTTACATAGAAACCAAACACTCACACAAAAAGAAATAAATTACCGATACAGTTTTCACTATTTACTCAACAGCATGCAGATAATGTCAGGCAATTTAAACACATTTTTTTCCCAAAAATGCCTGTTAATGTTCATTCAACAAAAATCTTCATAAAACACCCTCGGTTAGACAACCAAAAATCACTCTTTGTTTGGTCTGTTTGAAATACTAATGTGTATATACAGCGGGTAAAATAAGTATTGAACACATCACCATTTTTCTCAGTAAATATATTACTAGAGGTGCTAATGACGTGAAATTTCCACCAGTTCTCGGTAACAACCCAAGTGATCCATACATACAAAGAAATCAAACCATAAATGTCCAGAAATTAAGTTATTTGTNACGGGTGACGACCCAGGCGATGAGGAGGCCACGGGTGACGACCCAGGCGAGGAGGAGGTGATGACAGCCGACTCTCGAACCACCAGGACCGCCGAAACCTCCGACTCAAGGACCACTGACTGAGGAACCTCCGGGACCACCAAGAGTGGAACCACTGACTGTGGGACCACTGACGCAGGAACCTCTGGGACAACCGACTCAGGAACTACCACCAGGAATACCAACTCAGGAACCACCACCGGGACCACCAACTCCGGGAACTCAGGAACAGAAGCAGGATCTGGGGTGGGTGGGTGTCAAAGCTTTCAGCCCGGCCCCTTGCCAAAGACCCCGAGCTGAAGGTGAATGGCTGGACACCAGAACACCCAAAACGGAAGGTGGTAGGCTTCACCATACCCCAGTGGAAGGTGGAGGGTGGTAGCCCGGAAAAAGAAAAACTGCCTGCAGACTGGATGCTTTGTGGTCTGATCATTCTGTGAGGTTTAGTGTAGAATGACCCAGGGCACAGGCAGGATCCAAAGTTCAAAACAAATATTTTAATGAAACAAAAGGAGGGCTGACATGTCAGCAAAAACTTACCGAGACTCTAGAGAAAGGCACAACGAACATGAACATGAGCAGACACCTCACTGGCTGAGGGAAGCAGCACAATGATCTGACAAACTCTGAAGACAGGACAGAATATAATGACAAACTAATTAGGGCAACAAGACACACCTGGAGCAAACACAAGAGGACACAGGTGAGAGAGGGTGGGGCTGCAGGGCAGAGAAACACAGGGGAACACTGAAAACACTAGAAAACTAAGGAAAATAAACACAGATTATGACAACAAAGCTGGGGAAGAACTTTATATGTGTGTAAATAAACTTTCAAGATTGAGTACGGGACCAGTTTCCTGCATCTGATTCGAGTCCCATGAACACGTTTCGTACAATTATACTCAATTTGTCTAATCCAGGCCCGTTGGTGTAGCTTTAAATTCTTTAGGTTTAATTGAATTTCACCTGCAAATCTGTTAAGCTGTACTCAGAAAGCATGTGTCGATACAGGGATCGTCTGAGGACCGTCACCAACGTGCTGGGTGACTGCATCGGTGTTGGTGTGGTTCAACATCTGTCCAAACATGAGCTGCAGGTGGTAGAAGAAGAGTCATGAAGCATGCTAAAACTAAAAGTATCCCTTGTTAGAATATAGGAAAATGCATTATCATTTGAGTAAAATCATGATATAAATGTGTTGCTTTTAAATCTTGTTTCTTTTGAAAAATAAGGAAAGAAATCTTATGAAGAGTAAAATGCTCTCTGTGTTATAGTTATATTCTGTAATTTGAAAATGCAGCTTGTTCTTGTTGTTTTTGTCAGCGACCCCCCCCCCCCCCCCCCACCGCAGGGGTCACCATGCAAACTAAGATTTGTGCAACTATTCCACACCAGATGCCTTTCCTGACACAACCTGGGTTTAAACTGATCAATGAGCCACTGCTATATTTTCCAATGTCAAAGTATATGATTTAGTTCTGATGATTTTTTCCAGTAATTTTTTTCATTTATTTCCATATAATCACTGTCTTAAAAGAAGGTGTCAGTGTGCTAACGTGTAAAATAAACATTACAAAGAGATCAGTCAAATCTGTGTTTTGTGAATACATATTATTGTATATTATAGACTGGTTTTCTTCCTGTCTATTAAAAATGTTGTTTTATTACTTTCTTTGTTGCACCATCTGATGGCAGAATGGTCAATAGTTAGTGAGCCAGATTCACCCTGACAATGATTTAAGCACTTTATAATACCTGTGCCTTCATTGAGACTCAGACTTATGATGCTGAGAAATTATGAAATCTGGTTAAATATTGAACAGGGGCGAACAGGAATAGGTACAGGTGCAGAGCCAGAGTGGTGTCTGGGGTGGCAAGTGCCAACTCTGGTGCCTGACTGGCCCTGACAAGTGGGTGGAGAACTTGGATTCTGTTTTTGCATTTAGATTTGGTTAAATAGCGTTCTCTGACACTACCATGCAGGGGTTTAGCCAGAAGGGTGTCAGGGCCTGGACCATTTTACGGCACTCTGTGGCTGCGTTACGACGCCCTTACGACGCCCTGGTCCGCTTTACGGCACCTCATGGACGCGTCTGTATAAGGCACGAGGCTGCGGTGGCGCGCATCTCCCGTCTTTTTTTTTTCCAACATATTCATAACGCAGCGTGTGATCGAAGTAGGAGAATAAGTGATTTTATCATAACGATAACTAGAAGAAAGGTCTAGAAATGCAAGAAAATCATTTCTCACCGAATAAAACATGAAGAAAACGAGGCGACATGAGCAGCAGCAGCAGCCTGACATTTCCTGGTTCTCTACGGTAGGTTACTAGGTTACTGTTTATAGCGGTATTTTTAATTATTTTAACAGAAATGTAAAATCTGTAGCATTTCTAAAGTCAGACTGTAGCTTAGTAGGTACACACTATCATTGGTAAAAAAAAACGGTTAAAACAAAAAACAAACAATGGTGTGCTTTGAATCAATACAGTAGCTTTACTGATTCAAAGCACACCATAGTTTGTTTAGAAAATCAACAAATGTCGGTACATAATTCTCTGCATTTTTCTGGCCTTATTAAGAAAAAGTTTAACCCAAAATCCCTATATTGTAAACAGATGAGTGGAATTTTTAAGCTCTTTCTTTCCACACCCAAGCAAAGCATTTGAGTGGAGGAGAAGAGATAAACAACAGTGAATTCTATATTTGGAGTGCCAGTACCAACTATGGTTATTTATTTAGGGGAGATGGGTTGTTTACATAAAGCAGAATGTTACATATTCACTTATTTTTGTTTTCCTTTAAAGCCAAATGCTGGGGACAAGGCCAGAAAAGGATGGTGACAAGTGGCACTACAGTCCATCAGAGCTGCTGTCAAAGCTGTTTGGATTTAGGCAGGGGCAGACAAAGCTTTTTAAAAAT